TGGTAAGCAATCGGCTTCGCTCATGGACACCTGGAACACCAGAGGCGTTACAAGTGCTTTTGCAGCTTTTTAGGGATTAGGAGTTTGAGGACCGTTGGGTATTCAGGGATTGGGGAGAATGGGGAAGGGGAGGGTAATTGGGCCTCCGGTAACCTCACTCACACGACGAAACACAACGCAAGCGTTGCTTCACGTCGGTTTTCTGTAAGGCCGTGATATCACTCCGGTCGAGCCGGCCCATTTCGTGCCAAAGCATGGCTCTCCCACACTGAAATCTTTCCTTTTTATAATATAAACGTAGATATAGAAGAGGCCTGTAGCCTACCATAGACTAGCAGGAGAAGGGACGGGGTGGTTTTAGTCAGTAAGAGTCTGACACTCTCTCTCGCCTCATCCAGGCGGGAGAAGTCATTGAATGATTTCCTCCCCTAAAAATAGGGTGTTGATGATAAACGGACTGAACCTGGAATCGATTGTGAAAGTCCGTATTCAACAGTTATTCTATTAACGAAACAATGGGGTACTTGCCAACTAAGTAAAATTCAATACTTTTTTCGAACTGTCAAAAACGACAGTTTTCTATGAATTTTGTACGAGATTGTGTATTGTGACGTCACGTTTTTTTAGCGTCAAACAACATACTTATTTCGTAAACAAATGCTAAAACAATACTAAAATTAAGTTGGTCATAGAATCAATTAATGAAAGTGTGATTATTTTTTATTATTTTATTGTATTGAACAGTTGAATTCATTTATTTTAGATTAAGGAAAGTACCCAATTACCTAAACATCTTAGAACACTTCACCCAGCACAGAAATCGAACCTTGATCGTTACACTCACACTTTTTCAACCATTAAACCGATAGCGTACTATTTCATAACTTAAAATCAACAATATAATTAAAATCAAATTTTTATGTCATTAAGGTGCGTTTACACTATATTTTAACACCGTGCTCTGTGTAATCACCTTTATCAGATCCTGTAAACATGGTTTCAGCGGTTCATTATGTACAGTTAGCTGAAAAAATCCTGACTACATAGGTAAATATTAGATATTTTCAGTAGGAATAGAAAGTCATTCAATTGATCTTTTCTGAATTCGGTGAGGCGACAAGGACTATCAAACTCTTACTGACTTAACCCTGTTCTTACTACTGCTTCGAGGCTAGGCCGCTCATGGGTACCCGTGACCCCCTACTTTTTATTCAGATATTCCTTTATTTTACTGGCATTAACTGCCGTAATGTGCACCTCTGTCTACCTATTCGGAGATAAAAAGCGTAAGGTTATAAAAAGATACACATAACACCATGCTTTTTATCCCCGAATGGGTAAGCAGAGATGCACATTACGGCACTTAATGCCACTGTATAATGTAACACCCACTTTTCACTATTTATTTTATGATTCCCATGTAATAGGGGGTGAGTCTATTGCCATATACTGGGCACAATTCCGGATTCCGTGCTACTATTGAGAATTAAAAAAAAAACCGTTATACTTCGCCAGACCCGGGAATCGAACCCGAGACCCCTTTCCCTCGACCAACGAGGCAGTCAAATAAAAACACATAAAAAGATATGCATTAAAAATTATCACATTTTATTTATTGTAAAGTTAACATTTTAACAGCGACTGTACCTAAGTTTATTTGAACCTTGACTCCTCTCTCCTCGTCACCTCTAGTTCCTATTTACATCAACAGTAGTGTGGTTTCTTATGTGGCAATATTTTAGTTATACTAAAAGTAATATTTATCATAACTCCTTAGTATTCCGACAACTCACTTCTGACTCTCCAGTGATGTGAATGTCCATATCAAGTGTGGGAGATTCATGCTTCAGCACGAATGGGCCGGCTCGACCGGAGTGATACCACGGCCTCACAGAAAACCGACGTGAAGCAACACTTGCGTTGAGTTTCGTCGTGTGAGTGAGGTTACCGGAGGCCCAATTACCCCCCTCCCCATCTCCATTCCCGGAATGACCAACGATCCTCAAATTTCTAATCAAATGGCCGGTAACGCACTTGTAACGCCTCTGGTGTTCCAGGTGTCCATGGGCGACGCCGATTGCTTACCATCAGGTGATCTATCTGCTCGTTTACCGGTTTATGCCATAAAAAAATGCGGTACTGCTTGCTTACTAGCAAGTGATCCGTCTGCTCCTTTGTCTCCTCCATAAAAATACGTCCTATTATCCCTCCTAAGTGTAATAAACATTTTTATCGCCGCATCAAACTTGATTCAGACAATTGCGAGATAATCGCGAACAAACAAACATACATATGTATAGGTCAAAATGAGAACCTACTTTTATTTGACATCGGTTAAAAACATGGTCAGCTTGACCTCTTATGACGCTTGTGGAATGTAAATGTAAAGCAAACAAACATCTTAATTCTCCTCAAAACATAATTATAGAAAATACCCCTAAACCATGTTTTCATTAATAAAAATAAAACTACTTTAAAATTCATTTTAAATTCAAAATCAAAGCATAAAGTAAAAGTAGGGTCGTTAAGATCGTTTCCTTATAAAACTTGCATGTGGGTATTTCCACAAAACATCTTCGAATGTATCGGTAAACATTGCTGCATTAATGTCAATAACTTAATTGCAATTTTAGCCTCTGTGATAAACCTGAACCCTTAGTACAAGTTTGAATTAGGAACGTCGTTAAAAAATTTCGATACGAGACCGCGTTCGACGCCATGATTGGTCGCTTCATTTGAGCCGGCCAATCAGAACGTGTTCTCGTTTCGATTACTTTAAACGCAAAATAAATTGATACTAAAGCCTCTGAATCTTTAATATTGTGGTTTACAACTCTCTTGGCTGCCTCGTTGGCCGAGTGGTCCCAAGTGCGACTGCCGGGCAAGGGGCTCGGGTTCGATTCCCGGGTCGGGCAAAGTATTACTGGGTTTTTAAAAATCTCAGTAGTAGCATGGAGCCAGGAAATGTGTCCGATATATGGCAATAGGCTCACCCCCTATTACATGTGCCTCATAACATAAATAGTGAAAAGTGGGTGTTGCATTGTACAGTGGCATTAAGTGCCGAAATGTACACCTCTGCCTACCACTTCGGGGATACAAAGGCGTGATGTTATGTAACTCTCTTGGCAAGTATAGAGATTGATCATCGTCATCACCATTAAAGTCTTGGAGAGCCAAGCTTCGGCACGAAAGGGTCGACTCGGCCGGAGTGATGATACTACGACCAATGGCAAAGGCAATGCTGCCACCCTTCTGGGTACTTTCCCTATTGACGTCGATGCGGACGAATTGTTTATTGCTCTCTATAAATAGTAATTTTTGAGTTTTCTTTCATTTAATTTTCTTCATTAGTTTTAGTTTATTTAAGTTGTAATTACATATTTATTTATTTCCTTATTTTTATATTTAATTATTTCATGTATATAAATACTAATCTGTATGTATATATCTTTATATATATAATTCTTCTGTGTGTGTGTATGTCACTGAACTTCTCTCAAACGACTGGACCGATTTTGATGAAAATGGGATCTGGGAATGGTTTACATTCACAAATCAGCCCGGCAGATGGCGCTGCAGTCGTTGTCTAGGTTAGTTATCCTAAACAGCTGAACTAATTTGAATGAATTTTTGTTTATACATTCAAGTGGATATGCAAAAATGAATCTCTTTTTCCCTTGGTCACGGCATCACGCGAGAATGGCTGGACCGATTTCACTAATTCTCTTTTTGTTGTTTATGTTATTATTACTTGAAGGTTCTTAAGACAGAAAAAATCCTGAAAATCCTGCAGGAACGGGGAAAACGGGATTGCGCGTACGAAGTCGAGGGCAGAAGATAGTAATAAATAAATAATGTAAATGCGACCCACCATAGGCTTTTTTGTGTGTTCCTAAATTCTTGTTGTGTGTCGTAGCAAAATAAATGGTTTTTCTTTCTTTCTTTCTTTCTCAAAAATACCTAGATAGTAATTAATAAACTATAGTAAGCTAAAAGAACAATAAAATATGATTGTATAAAGTTAGGTAATATTTCAAATTGCCACATAAGATCTATACTAAAATAAATAATATTACAAAGTGCTACCGACTTTAAAAAAGTCAAATGCAATGTTTGAATTAATGGATTTCGACGCAATTAGCACAATTACTGAGTAAGTTTTTTTATCTAAATCGTCACCGATTCATGGTAGATGTCCCCACACGCACGAAGCGCTTCGCATCAAGCTTCTTTGTGTGAACTGCTAAGGAGTGGTATTCTTTGCCGAAGTCAGTATTTCCTGAAGGGTGTAACCTGTGAGTCTTCAAGGCCTGAGTGAATAGGTTGCTTATGGGTCGACGTGCTCCATCGTAGTCCATATCCTATCATCGCTTAACACCAGGCGAGATAGTGGTCAAATGTCAGTTCCATCTAATATAAAAAAATCTAAATAAGGTGTATGTCATACAAAGTTCATTTCCCGCGTCAGATAATATTATGTGTTATCGTTTTCCAAAAAGAAAATAGAAGTAAAAAAAAAAACATGTATGGCTTTAGAATATATTCAAACCGGGGACCCCATACTCGAGTTATACCGCAACCGCTAGATCAACGAGGGAATCTAGGACTTTTGAAGAGTATATTTTATGATGCACGGCTTACCCAAGTCACTCGCAACATCTGCCATCAACTTACTATTCATATTTATGGGTCCCTAGCATGGCTTGAAACTAGTCGAGTTACCTCGTAGAACAGTTACATGAGTACACCGTACAACATAACCATTAATGTAATGTGCCCCACGATAGTTTAAAATTTTAAAAAGTTAATACGCAGGTACAAAAACCTTTTCTTCTGAACTAAGCTGTAAGCACACTCCCCCTTTGCCAACAAAAAAAAAAAACTAAACTGTCAACGCAACACAACAAATTAGACATACCAAAACATAACCTAAAAATCTTATAGTGTTCGTGTAGAATAAAACTGTTTACAAAAAGAAATGTCAAAATAATTCCATAATGGACAAAATTGTTAAAAGTGTTAAATCCTGGCGTCATCCCAGGCCTGCTGAGGAGTTGTCCAGGAGTCAGTACTCGCTGGTGTCCACTGATCTTACTGATGGAGCTGTGCAATTGTGGCTGGGTCTACCCGACGAAGTTAAATATGATCCAGCTCTAGAACAGTTTCGGCAGCACTATGAGAAGGAGCATGGTAAGTGATTTTTAATGTTTTTAGCATTAAGCATTCATCAATGTTACTTTTGGGATTTTTGGGATAGGCATACGAGCAGATGGACCATCTGATGGTTAGCAATCAGCGTCCCCCAAAGACGGAAAGTGTTGCAATTGCAAGTGCGTTACCGACCAAACGCTACAGACGCACGCCGCGATTTTCACCCGCGATTCAATCTCACGAGACTGCAGTTTTCTGCGGTTACGCAGCCGCCGCGGTTGCAATTATCACCCGCATACATGGCGGTTGATTATCGCAAGACGGGCGGTTAAATAATCAGTTGAGTTCCATACCGGCCCTCCCGATCGCAGAGAGCGCGGGTGCCATCCCACCGGTACAAAACGCCCGCCGGTACAAGACGCCCGCCGGTACAAGACATCCACCGGTACAAGACGCCCGCCGGTACAAGACGCCCGCCGGTACAAAACGCCCGCCGCGCCAGTGCAGCGAAAGCCACAAACAATCGCATACGCCGCAGACGAAAAACGCGTCGTGAAATAATTTTGTTTTACATACATATCTGTATTATATAAAGGCTGCGGGCCCGCAAACGCGGGAGCGGGAGAAAATCGCTTCGTGAGCTTCAGAGTGCTTATATAAAGAAACAGGTCTGTAAGGGTCGGTACCGATCGGCGCAGGTATACTATACTGACTTATGACGCAGGTGCCGCCTAAGCGGCATGCATGCATACTTTCTAATAATATTATTTAGACACCACTGAAACATCGTAAGGAAACCTGGACCTATAATGTCTGATTATAATTTTCAAATTGCCAACCCGCATGGTGATTAATGCTCAAACCATCTCCGTGTAAGAAGAGACCTTTGCTCAGTAGTGGGCACTGCACGGCATATGCTGCTAATGATGGTTGGACCTTGATTCCAACCATCGTCAAAATCAATCAGACAATCTCTAGACTAGGCGATAAAATCTAGATAAGTATGAAAGAAATCTAGATCTTTTGTCACTGATCCAATATCTATATTTTTAGTACAAACAGCTGCGCAATTTCGCACATATGTAGTTCGGACGCATTAAAATTGTTGTCTATATTTGAATGCCATTTTCTCTTTGATATAATGGCTGTAAGCTTGACAAGTTAATCGATTTTAAAGTACCCATAGTTGGGTGTCTATATCTTTCATTCGTGTAATAGGGTCGATTGAGCTAGCGTGTCCCTTGATGGTAAGTTATCAGCACTATCCATTTCCACATGTCGCGGAGAACCTAACGGGTAACAGGGGCTCCGGCTCGAAGTGCAGGAGAAGGAACGGGGTGGTTTTTAGTCAGTAAGAGTCTGACACTCCCTCCCGCCTCACCCAGACGGGAGAAGTCATTCGATGATTTTCCCCCCTTAAAAAAACCATTTCCACATCCTCTTCTAAAATGAGCAGGAGCTCTGTAACAATACAGGAGCTATATAATTTGTTAACTTCTTGGGAAGGAGCTTAATTCCCACAGCTAAACATAACGCAAACGTTGTTTCACGCCGGTTTCCAGTACCACTCGTTGAACTGGCGCTGACGCCCACGTAAAACAGGACACTCAAAACAAAATTCAAAGTCGAGACCTCAGCTCGCCAGTTGCGACCACTATCAATTAGATAAAAGGAAAAATACAAAATATAAAATATAAAAGGAAACATAACATAACATCACGCCTTTTATCTCCGAAGAGGTAGGCAGAGGTGCACATTATGCCACTGTACAATGTAACACCCACTTTTCACTATTTATGTTATGAGTCCCATGTAATAGGGGGTTAGCCTATTGCCATATACCGGGCACAATTCCAGACTCCGTGCTACTACTGAGATGTTTTAAAAACCCAGTAATACTTTGCCCGACCCGAGAATCGAACCCGAGACCCCTTGCCATTCGCACTTGCGACCACTCGGCCAATGAGGCAGTCTAATCAAAAATATAAGGAAAAATCTAATCAAAAATATCTGATACAGGTACTTTTTAAACTCAACAGACCTTGTCAAGTCATTTGGTCCCACGAATTTAAATCCTTGGTCAATGTTTTGTTCAGTAATTTTCCACAATACTAAAGCTTCTTTCCTTGAGTCTTGTGGTGTCAGCAGAGTGAAATACATTTATCAGTACCTTTACTCTTCTCGCATTCGTATACCCGACTAAGGACTACATATTTGACAGAGACCGGGCAGCAGCGCTCTCTGATAAACCTGAACCTTTTACACTGCAATCTCTAACCTCCTTGGTGAACGTATCCACTTATGGTGCGTCTCCATCTGGCGATTGCACCACGGATGAGAAACCGATAGCCGTGCGTGTGCATTTAAAATTGTTATTTATACGAACCACGCACGAAGCGTTTCGCATCAAGCTTTCTTGTGCGTACTGCTAAGGAGTGGAATTCTGTATAACCTGAAGGGTATAACCTGTGTGTCTTCAAGGCCCGAGTGAAGAGGTTGCTTATGGGACGACGTGCTCCATCGTAGACCGCATCATCGCTTACCACTAGACGAGATAGTGGTCAAACGTCGGCCCATCAAATATAAACGAAAGAACCTTTTGTATGAGTGGAGCACCGAATCATTCGTGTCTGCAGACGCGGGCCGCCCGCAAAAGGGTCGCGAGCGGCACATCCGCCAGTTGTGGACGCATCCTTATGTAAAAGGTACCTATTGTCCCACCTGGATGAGACTATCTTACGAACTAAAAACCCACCTCGTTCCTATACCTGGTCTTTGGCCTATTATATAGCAATGATCAAAAGACACGCAAGTCTCCCTAGGGATGTGCTGTAGGCGTTACACCGTGGGGGCTCCGGAACAGGTCTCTTCAGCGGACCCAGTGCCCCTTAGAGGTGCTGAGTGTGGCCACCGAGGTGGTTTTTGAGTTCTTTAGACGCCGTCTGAAGGTTTCACCCCGTCATCAAAAAACAAAACTGCCTCGTTTACCGAGTGGTCGCAAGTGCGACTGCCGGGCAAGGGGTCTCGGGCTCGATCCACGGGTCGGGCAAAGTATGACTGGGTTTTTTTTAAAAAATCCAGTAGTAGCACGGAGTCTAAAAATGGGCCAGGTATAAGGCAATAGGCTCACCCCCTATTACATGGGACTCATAACATAAATAGTGAAAAGTGGGTGTTACATTGTACAGTGGCATTACGTGCCGTAATGTGCACCTCTGCCTACACCTTCGGGCCTATTATATAGTTATCAGTGACCTGACATGGACTGTTGATGTTTTGACATAGGAAAATAGCCATGATCTTATAAAAAAGTTTATATTTCCAATTAACAGATAAAGTTCAAAGAAGTTTATGTACTTGTATTGTACTTATTTAACTGTATTAGCTGAAGTCAAGGAAACCATTTTAGTATTTGTCTGACAAAACGTAATGCCTTATTACAAATATGGCGATCAGCAATTAACATAAATATATGTCTTTATGGGTAACATCAATACGGTGTTCTTGTGAAATCGCCTTTGTAATATCATCACGCTTTTCCCTATATGGGTAGACAGAAGTACGTTATTGTTTATTTGTTTTCGGTACTAACATACGTTTTAAGTTTATTTAGACACCACTGACTTATAGTGAAGGAACATATTATAAGAAAACATCTTTTTAGAGACTGCCTCGTTGACCGAGTGGTCGCAAGTGACTGCTGGGCAAGGGGTCTCAGCTCCGATTCCAGGGTCGGGCAAAGTAATACTGGGTTTAAAAAAAATTCACAGTAGTAGCACGGAGTCTGGAATTGTGCCCGGTATATGGCAATAGGCTCACCCTTATTACATGGGACTCATAACATAAATAGTGAAATGTGGGTGTTACATTGTACAGTGGTATAATGTGCACCTCTGCCTACCCCTTCGGGGATAAAAGGCGTGATGTTATGTTATGTAATATATATTTGTAATTCTAATTACAATAGTATTATTACCTTATCCAAGAATGGAATCTAGAACAATCAGTCTCAACTCTTAATAACTGGACCATAACGACATTGAATTACCAAAAACTATAGCCTCGTTGGTCGAGCGGACGCAAGCATGACAATCGAATGTAAAGGCTTGATATCAAATCCCGACCCAGAAAAAAAAATAAGGCAGTTATAAGGAATGAAAATTAAAAATGTATTTAGTCCGTCAGTTAGGTAATGAAAAAATATTAGACACGTTTTATTTTATTTTCTCGTATAAAGTTACAATGCTTAGATAAAATGGAGTTAAGTTTAGGAGAGGGAGGTTGTTACGTCATAACGTGCTACAAAATGTGGCACGCTGTGACGTCACACGATATTTCAAATTAATATATCGTCGAAAGTATTTAATATTGTGAGAAAAAAAAATACGTGTGTAATGTTTTAAATTAATCTACCAGACGGACATTAAAATAAAATTTAGTCAACTACCTTATTGACTTACGACACAGAATCTTTTTTGACAATATTCCTACATTACGAATCTTAGGGTATGCAATCTCGATATTGGAAGATCTCGAAATCGGCGAGGTCTCACGAGATTGCATTTTATAATCTCTCTCTCTCTCTCTCTCTCTCTCTCTCTCTCTCTCTCTCTCTCTCTCTCTCTCTCTCTCTCTCTCTCTCTCTCTCAGTATAAAAATAATACCAAAAATAATAATAATAAAAAATTCTCTGTACCTATTAGCACAGAATTTAAAATGAAGCCTTTATGCCAGACGTATGGTAACCAAAGGCAAGATTTCATCTTCTTTATTATATAAGACTCATAAATTCACGCTAATAATCTCCAACAATCCTAATCCAACTTTTTAATCCTCAAAAGGCCGACGATGCACTTGTAACGCCTCTAGTGTTTTGGGTGTACATGGGCGACGCCGATTGCTTACCATCAGGTGATCCGTCTGCTCGTTTGGCGGCTTATTCCATAAAAATAATAATAATAACACAGAGCCTTGAATTAAACCCCGTACTTATATGGTAATAGACTCACCCAGAGGCATAGGATTCATAACTAGCGAGT